TGAAGTAGACATGGCAAAATACTAATTGTGTAACTCTTGTTTTTAAAAATATGGACAAAGTAGAATTAGAGTGATTAAAAACTTACCTTTTCTGAATTTTCTAAGTTATTAAAATAATCACTTATTAGTCTTTTTTATCACAAACCTATACTTAAAAAAGAAAATTGTAATTTTAAAAATAAACTTGTAATATTTGAATACTGAATATTTTAAATAGTTAAAAAACCTTAAGTCAATCAGAAAGAGATTAAGATGGAAGAAGCATTTTATGATTTAGTCAGAAAGTTAAACTGTATTTTTCTATCTCATAAAAATTTCAAAAACTCAGAATATCTGGGCCTTTTAACCACCAAAACCCCATAACTAGAAATATGCTATATTTGTACAGGAAAAAAGCAAACAGACAAGAAAATTTTTCTACAGGATTAACTTAGCTGGACATTGGAAAACTTTTGTTCATATACCACTAATTTGGGAGCCATAATATGTGTTGTAATACTTGGTTTTAGTTCCTGTATTAAAATAGTATACTCAGTTATTCTCAAATGTCTTTCATGTGAAAGGAATATTTTTAATTTTATTGATCTGTAAAAGTTAACAAAATGAAGTATGATTCATTCAGGGAACACTTGACCCATCTTGGAACCTGCACAGCTCCATTTTGTAGAGAGCTCTTAAATGTCAGCAGCAGGCATGTTGGCCCTTATGCTCCGACAAATTGGCTTTCCACACTTCAAGGCCATGTTTAGCTAATGGTGAAAGCCACAGGGTCAATACTGTGGAGCTAAGGTGTAGATCAGAGGTCCCCAAACTTTCTTGGTTCCCGGCACATTCAGTGTTTCAGTAATTTTTTCACTGTGTCTCCCAAGCCGAAAGAAGTGAATTATAGTTCAGTTTTTTAAGTTATTAGGTCCAAACAACTTAGTATTTATGTCCTAACAGCTTAGAAGCTATAATACTTAAAAGAATAAATATGTGGAATGTTACTTGGCCATAAAAAGAATGAAATCTTGTCATTTGCAACAGCATGGATGGACCTAGAGGGTATTAAGCTAAATGAAATAAGTCAGATAGAGATAGACAGATACCATATGATTTCACTTATCTGTAGGTTTTAAATAATAAAATAAATGAACAAATAAGATAGAAACACACTCATAGATACAGAAAATAAACTGATGGATTCCAGAAGGGTGGTGGATTGGGGAGCTGGATGAAAAAGGTAAAGGGATTAAGAAGTACAGATTGGTAGTTACAGAATAGTCAGAGATGTAAAATGCAGCATAGGGAATATAGTTAATAGAATTGTAGTAACTGTGTATGGTGCCAGGTGGGGTACTGGAAATACCAGGGGATCACTTTGTAAAGTATATGGTTGTCTAACCACTATACTGCACATCTGAAACTAACACAAAATAATACTGAATATAAACAATAATTGGAAAATAAAATTTAAAAAAGAAAAAAAATAATACAAAGATTACACTGAAAGAAAAATTCCTATTTCATTCTTAACTAACCACAAATACTTAACAATGGGATATGTGCATCTGTGGAGCACTGTCTTCTTAAACTTTGGAATCAGAGTGAACACTGCTACAGTTGTAGCCTGTTCCACTTTGATTTTTGCATGGTACTTGTATTTTACCACAGCAACAATGGAAAACCCAGCCCCACAAAGGTATGGCACCGCTGACATTAATGTAGGGTGATCTAATGTTGAAAGTGCGTAAGCTACCTTGAGCTTGCAGTTTGCATGGTGTCTGATACATGTGAAGTGTAAATGTGTTTCCACAAATAGTTAAAATATTATGTGGTACCCCAGCATGCCTCAGTACACACGAAGCACAGATCTAGGTTAAAAAAAAAACTTCGGAGGTTAAACAAAATCTCAAAAGATTCGGGGGGTGGGGTGTGGGGTTGTGGGGGGGTGGTGGGTGGGGGGTGGTTGGTGTGTGTGTGTGTGTGTGTGTGTGTGTGTGTGTGTGTGTGTGTGTGTGTGTGTGTTGGGAGGTGTGTTAGAAATTCGGTGCTCTGCAAAATAGGGATACCAAACTCATGAATGGCCCTGGCATTTGCATAGCTATTCCAATTCGCCCTGCTTTTGCAGTCAGCATTGGCTGCGTGACTCCACACCCTTCTAATTCAGTGCTGATGATGGAATACTGCCACTTTCATGCTAGCTTGGCTGGAATGGGAGAATGAGCATCACGAAAAATTAACTATATTGCCTTTATTTTGTAATAAAAATTTTGAGACCTGTACTGATTGTTGGCCCAGTAGCTGACTTAAACATAGTGTCAGCAGCTATTATCTATAAAAGTCTGCATGCACTGTGATGAGTAATGACCTCATGAACTTCTTATAGTCGTAATATCTAGAAAGTCTAAATAATAGGATCAGACATGTTTTATTCTATCATTATATTTAGATAAAAGTTCAACATTTTTATAAGCGACAGATGCTTGTTGAAAATATCATAACACTGATAACAAGTTAGCATCTGGCTTTTGTCTTATCAAATCAGTATATGTATTTCAGTTTATAGAGATATATATTTCAGTGGGACACACTGAACTCAGAAGTTCAGTGTGCCCCATATGTAATTGTAGTCATATGCTGAGGATAGACTATGTGTATTACTGATTCATTGGTGCACAATGACTCATTTATTCCCTTCTGAAACACAGAGAGTTTGCAAGTACTACATATTGTTAAATCCCAGATTTTGTTTCCATATTTAATCAAACAAGCCTCAAATAATTTGGTATCAATTGTAGCCTGCCTATACAGAAAGAACGTGCGGGTCAAGTCACTATAAGCATGTGGACTGATAGTTCTAGTTCCATTCTAGTTATTTACTTGGTGTTCTGGATTATATTCTTTGGGTCTATGAGTCAAAAGGAATCAGCATTCATGAGCCTGATCGACCCTGGAACACCAATGATAATCCTTTCTAATTCTGCCTCAGAATTGCAGAGGCTAAAAGTAAAAGATGTTAAGTAAGCTCTTTGTAAACTAAAACATTTATTTAAACAAAATATATTATACTTATTTATGAGTATCCTGATAGTACTTTGAAATTCTTTGCATTTATATCTTCAAGATGACCCATTATTTCTGATTCACTTTTGGTCAAATAAGGATGAATGTGTTAAAGCATTTAAGTTAGTATTCATGTAGCTCAATTCAACTCAAAACTTGCAATTTAATATTAATTTAGTGAAAATAAGTCAGACAGAAAAACTTAACCATGATTTCACCCATATGTGGGATATAACACTGAAAACAACAAATGAACACAAAAAACAAACAAAAACTCATAAACACAGACAACATATGGTGGTTACCAAAGGGTAAAGGGGGTCAAATATATGTTGATAAAAGATGATTTGAATTTGAGTGGTAAACATACAATACAATATACAAATCATGTATCATAGAAATGTCCACTTGAAACCTATATAATCTTATTACCCAATGTTATCCCAATAAATTTAATTAAAAAAGAAAAAAGTTTATTAATTTTGGATAAATAAATTAGGAATACTACTTTTCATAAGCCTAAAATTTTAAAAAGGTGTTTAAGAAAATTTGCCATAATAGTGAACTTTGAATACACAGTTCTCTTAAATCCTAAGAGAAAATAGCATTGGTATTTGATCATAACATAAAATCTCAGGTAAAAATTTCAGAATGGAAGATTGTCTTTTGGGAATTAATGCTGTTTGCTCAAATCCTTTAGTATCATTATAGTAACAGTATATACTAACTTTTCTATAAATTTTAAAGAATTTTTCTGAAAATTCTATGTATTATGGGTATAACAGACTAATAATCATAGCACATTTACTTTTTAAATATCAAGATATTAGATTTATATGCATAATATACATTTACTTCCAAAGACCCAAATCCAACTATTCTAAGTTAAGGACTATGTATAAGCTTTTGAATGGGATTATCAATACAAGCCTCGAGATGAAAGAAAAAATAATCAGTACCAATGATAATATGAAAAATCTGTCTACTTTTTAAGAATGATTACTTTGAAAAGATTCATTCAATAAAATTGCTTTCTAAGTGTATATAATTAAAAAATTAAAGATGCAGCGAAAATTCAAATAAAATTGAGATTAACTATAAAGTACCTTTTCCTCTTGATTTCTCTAAGAAATGGACTCTTAATACAAAACAGAATATTTGGTCCACATTTTTCCCCCTAATAATACAATTTTTACATAAAATAAATGATTTAAAATAATTACTTTATTTCAATAAAAAAAGCAAAATCTAATAGAAAATGGAATTCTTTCATCTGATAAAATTATCATACTCTTTCTAAATAAAATTTTATTTCTACCTATTAAAAATCTTTAGAAAATATGCCACCATAATTAAAAGTTTTATAAATATTAATGCTCAAAAAAGTCTTAACAATGCATTGGTTTTATTGAGTATAAAAAACAGATTTCTAGTAATGCAGTAAAATGGTAACCTACACCATTAAATCGTTATAGAATTCATATATGAAATGTTTTAATAAATAAAAATTTCAAAACTCATAGCAAAAGCTTTTATATCCCCTAGTTATAAAAATATGTGAACATAACCATAATATGAAAGAGAAAAACTGAAAAATAATTTTTTTAAGTTTATATATTATTCCTCCAAGTTATGAAATGCTAAATGTTTATCAACAATTAAATGTTACAAAATTTGGAACATGAATTTTTTCATGTAATCAGAAATATTTCAATAGAAATGAAACGGATACATTATTCAAAAAAAGAGGAGTATTTGTATTTAATTTCCTAAGAAAATGTTCAAGGTAAGCTTTAACAATGAATATATATTCATGAGATATATTTCTCTTTTCTTTGCAACAAATTGAAGCGGAAATATTTTCTATAAATACAGATTCCTTTTATTTTTCTTCTAGTATTGGCATAAAACATTGTATGGCAACACAGCAGAGGTTAATGTTGTACACTTAATACCTGTAATGTGTTCTTCCTACAACTGTATTTCCTTCTCTCCACTGAGCAGTCACGTCAGTGGGATCAAGTAAGCCTTCAAAAATATGCTCCCAGAGATACAAACCTAGTAATTAAAAAGCAAAAACAAAAACATTTACTGTCTGGTCTACTCTGGTATGTAGGATGAACTTATGTTTTGCTCTTTTGTATCATTTCATTAGGAAACCAGATTTTTTTCCTCTTGGTCCCTTGGCGGGCAGTGTTACCAAGCAGTAGCTCAAAATCATTGGTATGGCAGCTATAGCGTGACAGAACTCAGAGGCTGACAGTGAAATGTGGCAAAATGTGGGTTACAGACAATGACCTCTCTTACTCTAAATTTGAGAAGACCTTTACTACCTATTTTATCCTGAAATGTGTTACAGTACTATGTAAATTACTACAGTAAGTCTTCACTTAATATCCTTAATATGTTCTGTGACTTTAAGTGGATAGGTGTAAAACAAAACCAATTTTATTGTGGGCTAATTGGTATAGACAGGACTTGGGTTCCTATGGCATCGCATCAACATTATAACAAGACTTGAATTAAAGGATGTTAGGAGGACCTGCTGTATATGATTAGAACCGTTTCTGTTTTATAACACTCACTATGTTGTGCCAAACATAATCAGAGAAGCCCATGTATGTACATATATATTTAATATGTCAAGGAGATATTACCTCCTTCTCACTTGAACACACATCTCTCACTGCATGATGCCCTCTGCAGACAAGTATCATTGCATCTTTTCTCCTTAGGGCAGCCTCTGATGTTTTACATGATTTCACCTGAATGAAAGCTCTGAGAGTAGAGGAAAGTAGTGTCACACAATGAAGAAATCTGGAGACAATGAAGTAATCTGGGGACCTATTTTAGTTACACTGAAAGATGAATTTTGTTTCATTTTCATTACATCCCTGAACTAAAGGACACACACACACACACACAATTTAAAGACTTGGCTGATTAGATAAAGCTTTCTAATTGTGGTAGGCTGAATAATGTCCCCTACCCCCCATACGTCCAAGGATGTAATCTCAAGAACCCGTGAATATGTTACGTGGCAAAAGAGTCTTTCTAAATGTGAATGTGATTAAATTAAGGGTGCTGAAGTGGGGAGATTATCCTGGATTATCTGAGTGGGCTCTTTATAATCATAAGGGTCCTCACAAGAGGGAAGCAGAAGAGCCAGAGGGAGGGAAGGAGATGTGAGGATGGAAGTCGGGGTCAGAGTGATGTAGGGCTATAAGGCAAGGAACGCGGGGGGGCCTGTAGAAGCAGTAAGAGACAAGGAAACTGATTCTCCTCTAGAGCGTCCAAAAGGAATACTGTCCTGCATGCACATTTTCGACTTCAGCCTTTAGAAACGTAAGATAATGAATGTGTATTGTTTTAAGCCATTAAATTTTTGGTACTAGGTTATAGCAGCTATAGGAAACTACAGATTATGTAGTTATAGATTATGGGTACCTGGAAATGGGGTACTAATAAACAAGTATTTAAAATCCTGTCAGTGGCTTTGGAATTAGGTATGGAAAGAGGCTGAAAGAATTTTGAGGAGTATGATGAAAAAAAAAAAAAGCCTAGATTAGATTGCCTTGAACAAAATGCAGGTAGATATATGGATGTTAATGACTCAGCTAGTAAGAATACGGAAGAAAGTTTGGAGCCCTGTAGGAAAAAACCTGTATCATCTTAGGGAATAACTAAATCATAAGCAGACTGCTGGTAAAAATATGTACATTAAAAGTGTTGCTGATGAGGTTCAGGAAGTGAATAACATGTTATTAGAAAATGGAGAAAAGGGGATGCTTGTTATACCGTCATGTACCACATAATGATATTTCAGCCAATGATAGACTGCATATGTGATAAGATTACAGCAGGGCTGAAAAATTCCTATGCTTAGTAATGTCACAAAGTCATAGTACAACACATTACTCATGAATTTGTGGTGATGCTGATGTAAACAAACCTTCTGCGCTGCTAGCTGCAGTAAAGTACAGGATATACTTTATAGTAGTAGGATATACCATTTAAGTTCGTGATAACTTAAATGGTATTTGCACAAGGACAAAATTGCCTAATGACACATTTCTCAGAATGTATCCCTTTGTTAAGTGGCACATTCCTGTATAACAACAGAAAGCTTAGCTGAACTGTGTCCTGGAGTTATGTGGAAAGCAGAACTCGTAAACAATAAACTTGGATATTTAGCTGAAAAGATATCTAAGGAAAGTGTCAAAGATGTGGCCTAGTTTCTTCTTGCTGATTATAGTAAAACATGAAAGGAAAGAGAGATTGAGGAAAGAACTGTTAAATAAAAAGGAAACAGTATTTGATGATTTGGGAAACTCTCAGCCTATTCCAACTGGAAAAGAGGTAAAAATTTAGGAGATTCACTGTCAGGAAAGCACATTCTTAACAGAAGGCCAAAGATATGACTTGGTATTCTTTTGGATAGTACCTCAGAAGATTAAAAAAATCATAATATTTAGTCATATAAAAGACTCTCTGAAGATATTAGATGTGTAATTAATGGATCTCGTTCAGTAATCTTAGCAGAAGCCAGAAATAGAGATGGGATTGTCGAGGAAAAACATGTGAAGGAGGTCTTTTCTAACAGAGCAAATTCTCCTAACATACACAGAAGACCCACAAGGTTCCTGAGAATGTTGTGTCAGCAGTACCACTGACAGCTTGGACTAAAAGGGACTGAGAACGGCTGAAATGAAGAAGGCTATGTTCAGGAAACAGACTGTAAAACTACTGATCTGAAGGGCCAGAAGCAAAGCCTTGAGCCACAGATTATTCCCAGGCCTCGAAACCTAATGGAGTTTGCTTAATTGGATTTCAAAATTGTTTGGATCAGTGACTCCATTTTACTTCCATTTTCTCTCTTTTTAATGGGAATGTCCATAACTGATATGCTTTTACTGTGCCTGGGAAATACGTTGATGAAAGTAGAGTTCGATATATGTTACTCTGGTCACTCTGTGCTTATTGGATTAAAAAGAAAAAAGTCTAAAAATATTACAACTTGTTAAGACGTGGATTTAATTAAAAACTAGACTGAGGAAATGATCATCTAAGAAAAGATATTAATATTACAGATTTTATAAAGAAAAAAATTGTTAGAAATTGATGATTGTAGGCCTGCTTCTGGGTAGCTGAAATTTAAAGGCCAGTAGTAATCTTCAAGGATGTGTATTTGCATGCAAGTGTGAATGAATTTACGATACTCCATGGGCCAGGCTTTGTCCTCTGTTCACTTTCCTCTTCTCTGGTATTTTCTATCCATATCCCTTACTGTCCATATAAATCCAATGCATATTTAAAGGCCAAATAAAGCCCCTTCTAATTCAATTTTTTCTGACTCTTCTAAGAATTGACGGTTCTATTCTTTAACTGAGCATAATATATAACTTGGAATGCTACGCTACTCAGAAGAAAATGCTTTTGTGGGCAATCAAGTTTAATCAGCTACATACTATATCCCCTTCTTGGGCACTGACAATAAATATTGGCCTACTAAAGGCTCTAAGAAATTGATAAAGAACCTGGTTTAACTTTGCATAGTTCAATGTCTCCCAAACTCGTTCAATGTTTGGCCATCAAGGGCAGTGGCCACAGCTTGTACCTGTGTATCAAATATCAATAAACATAGATTCTTGAAAATTCAGTTGACATATACATTTAACTATAATAATGCTTACACAAATCATTCTTTGTATCCACAAATCCACAAACTTGTGCTTGGCTAACGACCAACAATAGAATGTGTGTGGATAACTTGCATGGATATTGTCTAACAAAAAAGAGAAATAAAATATTGAAAAAAACTATTATATTTTAACAAATGATAAAATAAACTATAAATATATTAAAATGAATTGACTCTAATACTAAAAAAGCATATTCCTTTGAAACGCTTTTAACATGTCTAAGCTCTACATGTTAACTCACCAATGGCAGCTTTGCCCCAGATTTGTACTTGGAAGTCTGTTTTCCCTTTTGTGGATTTATTTAATATTTGAAGACTAGTTTTAAATCTGTGTTGTTGCTCCTGTTTTTCATCTTCTTCCCAAGGATTCCATTCTTCACTTCCCAAAGTAGATTGTTCTGTGTTTTAAAAAGAGCAACAGTGTTTATCAGTAAGGTAGAGATGGAGTTGTAGATAAATTCAATTAATTTAAATATTAGCGAGTTCTAATTTCATGCTAACTTTAATTTTTCAAAGAGGTAAAGCAACAACATTTGGACTGGTTAAACACACACATTTTTAAAAAAAGGAAATCAGAATCTAATTTTTATTAACCCTTTCCTCTGAAAGATCTTAGAGATAAAATTTTCTCTCCAGAACAAAACCTTCTAAAATACCTGGATAATAGGTATCAAGTTCCTAGTTTAACTTCTGCAATTCTTTATAGATCGTATATACCTAGCCTATACATCAAAGCTTTACTTAAGAATAAAGTGTCCAACAGTTTTAAATACTATTGTGCAAAATTCTGAAAAAGGAAGAGATGAGCGTCTGTCCGATCCTGCCTTATAGGTCAAAATACAGGCCAGGGGACCCGTACTTGGAGGTAAGCGTCCTGGCCTTCCGAAATCACTGCATGATTACATAAGGCTCTTTGTTTCAATATGGAAATAGATTTCTTAAACCCAGCAGCATGCCCGCGAATCTCTGGCATTTTGTGACAACTTCCTGGATATTTAAGACAAGTTTTAAGGGTGCGTGAGTCTGTCAACTTTGAGGGTGGTACGTGGGGACAGCGTGTGGGATTCAGGAGGCACTGAGGTATTCGTACACCCTTCAATCCCGCTCCCAGGACAGGACAGACAGCTGGAGCAGGAGAGGCGCACCGCGGGGCCCCAGGGCAATCCCGGACACGAAACCGGGATCCCCAGCAACGCGGATTGGCTCCGCCAGGCCCCTACTAACCCCGCGACCCAGCGTCGGAGCTCGCAGCCAGGCACCCAGGCCACAGCTCCGCATCCTACCTCGGCCGCGCCCCTCCCGCGCCGGGGCCGCCCCCTTCCTAAGGCCCCGCAAAGAGGCGGCCGGGGCCCGGCGGCGGCGCCCGAAAAAGACGTGGTACGCGGCGTAGAAAGAGAAGAGGCAGTACAAGGCGATGAGAAACGAGCACAGCCGTTTCCGCGTCAGCCGCATCCCAGTTAAGCTTCCAGTCAGGCCACCGCCGGTCAGGAGCGGGGCCCAGCAAATGCCCCGACTCAGCCTCCGGCCCCAGCGGCACCCGGGGCGGGCCCTGGCGCTGGCAAAGGGAATCATCAGACCTGGCCGGCTTTTAGGGCCCGCCCAGACCCCGCCCACAGCTCCTGCGGCCCAACCCCGTCAGAGTGCAGCCCGAGCCTCGCCCTCAGCTCCGCCCACGGCGTCCGTCTTCCAAGTCACTCCTGCCGCTCTTCCCTTGCGAGGTGCTGATACCTGCTAGTCTTTGATTCCAGAAGTGGGCTTTGGAAGATCGCCCAACTGAAGGCCCAGATCATGTGACTTTTTGTTTAACAGGTAATCCCCAGAGTTTAACATAGGGCCTGCAACATTGACAGATGAATGAGTATAAACATGCATAAAAACATTAAGTGGTCATAGAGGCAAACATTGTGAAAGTGACTAATATCGCTCAGAAATGATTAGAATGGCGAACTTTGGGATATATACACCTTACCATAATAAAAATATTTGTAAAGTATGTTTTCTTGATTATGATATCAAGTTATCCCAATTTTTTCCCCTTTGCCTCCCTGCCATGGTACCCTCCTTCCACTCCAGCAATCCCCCCTTTAGTTCATGTCCATGGGTCATACATATAAGTTCTTTGGCTCCTCCATTTCCTGTGTTAGACTTATCATCCCCCTGTCTATTTTGTACCCACCAAGTATGCTTATTAATCCCTTCACCCTTTCCCACATTCTACCCCTTCCTCCTCCCAGCTGATAACCATTAAAATGATCTCCATACCTATAATTCTGTTCCTGTCCTGGTTGTTTGCTTAGTTTTTTTTTTTGAAAGATTCAGTTTTTGAGTGTTCTGAATTTATTTTCTTTTTAACATTCATAGTTTTGATCTTCTTTTGCTTAAATAAGTCTTTTTAACATTTCATGTAATGTTGGCTTGGTGATGATGAACTCCTTCAGCTTTACCTTGTGTGAGAAGCACTTTATCTGTTCTTCCATTCTAAACAAAAGCTTTGCTGGATTGAGTGATCTAGGTTGTAGGTCCTTACTTTTCATCACTTTGAATACTTCTTGCCAGTCCCTTCTTGCCTGCAAAGTTTCTTTTGAGAAATCAGCTGTCAGTCTTATGGGGACTCCTTGCTCTTCTCTTGCTACTTTTGAGATTCTCTCTTTATTTTTACCTTTGGCATTTTAATTATGATGTGTCTTGGTGGGGTCCTCTTTGGGTCCAACTTGTTTGGGACTCAGTGCTTCCTGCTCTTGCATGTCTATTTCCTTCATCAAATTAGGGAAATTTTCTTTCATTATTTTTTCAAATAAGTTTCAATTTTTTGCTCTTCTTCTTCTTCTGTCATTCCTAAAAATCAGATGTTAGCATATTTGGAGATGTCCCAGGGTCTTCTTATATTATCCTGATTTTTTTTTGAATTCTCGTTTCTTCTTTCTGTTCTGGTCGAATGTTTATTTCTTCCTTATTTTCCAAATTGTTGATTTGAATCCTGGCTTCCTTCCCTTCACTGTTGGCTCCGTGCAGATTTTTCTTTATTTCACTTAGTGTAACCTTCATTTCTTCCTTTGTGGTTTTTCTGTACTCAGTGAGTTTTTTGAGCATCTTGATCACCAGAGTTTTGAACCCTGCATCTGAAAGGCTGGCTATCTTTATTTTGTTGAGTTCTTTCTCTGGGTTTTTTTTCTGTTCTTTCGTCTGGGCCATTTTTCTTTGTCTCCTCAATTTGGCAGCCTCCCTGTGTTTGTTTCTATGTATTAGGTAGAACTGCTTTGATTCCCTATAAGACACCTGCACATTATGGGGGCGGAGCCTTAGGTAATAGACGGGGTGGGGCACCCCACTTCACTGCTTTGTGTCTCTGTGTGGGGAGAAGGCTCAGAGAGGGAACTGTGCCTCTGCCTGCCTTCTGGGGGTTTGCCCAGCACTCCCCTATTTGCGGTCACTTCACCAAATTCCTGAATGTGACTGGTGCCCTTCCAGCTGTTGCCATGGTGTTGAATCCGAGTGGGTGGGACAGCATCCACAGATACCTATAATGTTTATGATATCAAAGTAATAATCCTAAATAGATTTTATTAAAATTGGTGGATCACATGTAATACATAAACAAAAAATTGCGGTGAAATGTTATGGCAGTGATGAATCTGTGCACAGAACCTAAAGGCTGCTGGGGGTGGGGCATAAATGAGAGAAAGATTGACAGAGGAAGTGATGTTTACACAGAATCTGTTTTTACTCATCTAGCTTCAATTTCACCTCCTAGTTCTGCCGTCTCTAACCTTTATATTCTAGTTTTGGGGTTTTTTTTGGCTATTTGTTTGTTGTTTGGTTTGTTGTTTTAAGAAAATTACAATTTTCTTACTGTTTCCCACTGTCAATAAATTTCTGTAGCTTATTTATTATTATCACCATCATACTTATACAGAAAAGAAAAATGTATCTTATTGGGAATGATTTTTGTAAATTTAATAGAGCTTTATTTAATGACTTATCAGTTGTTAGATGGCCAACCCCTACTAGAAGTATCTTACAAATAGTTTGAAACAAAGACTTGTGGCCAACCTGTGAAAAGTCTCTCAAAGTAGTTAATACATTTCTAGAGTATTACTGAAACCTTGCTAAACTTAGAAAAGAATTTTGTCCAGATATCACAAGAAACTTGTACTTGCGGACTTTCTAATAAATGTGTACTGTTTTCAGGCAGCTTTCTGAAGGCATTAGAGCTTATCAATATTGGACCTTAATAATTAAATTATTAATACTTCTTCTTTTTGTATACATGGAAGATAATTTCACCAAATATGACCTCAGTTCATTGTTAGTATATGATGTTGTTAAGCAAAAAAAAAAAAAAAAAAAAAAAAGGATGAGAAGAGGAGCAAGGATGCAACTACTATATCATCAAGAACACAGGACTAAGAACAGATGCAGAGATTCTAGTCCCAGCACAGCCCCTAACAAAGTATAAAATTTTGGTCAAGTCACTTCACCTCTCTGGACTTCAATTTCCATTGAGTCATAAAATTCTCCTCATCAAATTATCTATGGTGTCACTTTGAAAGACAAACACCTGCCCGCAAGAGTATCAAATTCAGGGAACGTAAATTTTTGCTAATAGAGGGGATGGAAACTTTATCCAAAAATATTGAGGATTCTGCATCAGGGTAGAGAGTTGAAACAGTTAGGACACAGCAACTACTCTAAAAGCTACTCCACACCTTTCTCACAAGTTCTCTGGCTACCAGGACAGCCAGACGAGTTGAACAATAATGGAAACAACTGACAAAAAATTATAGCCCAACTTCACAAGGTTCAACCTAGAAAGTTTATTGGCAACATTCAATTGTATGGCCTCTATCTGACAAAAGACTGCATGCCTGTGTTCATTCAAGTTACAACACAGTATTTTTTAAAAATATTTTTGTTAGGACTTCCAGTCAAGATGGAAGAGTAGGTAGACATGCTTTGCCTCCTTGCACAACCACAAAAAGAATTACAACTAAATCTCAAAACAAGTAACACCAAGAACTGTCAGAAAAATCAAACTGTATGGAAATCCAACAACCAGGGATTTAAAGAAGCCACAGTCATCCAGACGGGTTGGAGGGATGGAGACATGGAGACAGACTGGAGAGGCATAGAGACACAGTGTGGCATGGAAGGCAGCAGAACAGACCTGGGTGGTCCCACATTCACATGTGGTGGATAAAAATTGGGAGAGATACCTTGGGAACAAGCAGTCCCAGCCCCAGGCCAGACTGCACAGCCCAGGATTCCAGTACCAGAAAGATAAATACCTATAACTTCTGGCTGTAAAAATCAGTGGGGGTTGGGGCAGCAGAAGAAACTGCTGGATTTTCAGGAAGCTTTGCTTAAAGGGCCTCCCTGGTCTTAAAACATACACAAACCCACCCACTCAGGGATTCAACACCATGGCAACAGCTGGAAGGGCACCAGTCACATTCAGGAATTTGGTGAAGTGACCGCAAATAGGGGAGTGCTGGGCAAACCCCCAGAAGGCAGGCAGAGGCACAGTTCCCTCTCTGAGCCTTCTCCCCACACAGAGACACAAAGCAGTGAAGTGGGGTGCCCCACCCCGTCTATTACCTAAGGCTCCGCCCCCATAATGTGCAGGTGTCTTATAGGGAATCAAAGCAGTTCTACCTAATACATAGAAACAAACACAGGGAGGCTGCCAAATTGAGGAGACAAAGAAAAATGGCCCAGACGAAAGAACAGAAAAAAAACCCAGAGAAAGAACTCAACAAAATAGAGATAGCCAACCTTTCAGATGCAGGGTTCAAATATCCACCCAGGGTATCATCCTGGGTGATAGCCACAGAGTGTGATTCATGACATTTAGAACCTATGTGGCTTATCTCTAATTTATTACTGACTTCATTATATGTGTTGTTTTTCTAAAATTATCATCAGCTTGAAAAAGGACTCTGCTGAAGGGGCCCAGAAGAGATATAAATATGTTTCAACCTCTTTTAGTGCCATTCAGTTAAACCTTTCTCTATATTTTGCACATCTTATTTTAGTGTTTGCAAGTATGTAGACATTTGATATATTCTCCTTCTTAATTTTGACTTTTTATCACAAGGCAATCCAGCAAAACAGACACTTTGATTAACATTGCACATTTGGTAGTCTGAGATTTACTTTTATTTTTATAAACTCTGCCATGTTTATTTTCTGCCAGGGTTATTGCTGGCTACCTCAAATGGATTGGATAACATCCCAGCTTTTTTTAGGCCCTAGAAGAGTTTATAAAGCATAGAAAACACTTAGTCCTTGACAGTTTGGCTGCACTTTTCAGTAATATTTGTGGGCCCTAGAACTATTGAGTTGACCAAAAAGTGCCTTAGTTTTTTCCATAAAATAAAAGACATGCTTTTCATTTTCACTACTAAATTTATTAATTTGGTTATATTTCGAATATGTCAGCTATCTCCCATGTGGTATAATGTTGATTGTTCTCAGTTGATGTCCGGATTTGATTGCTATCAACTTCAACTAATCTACCCATCCCTGGAGCATCGTCCACTGAGAATTCTCCAGCATGAAA